TCCTATGCTTTATAGCATACGCATAAATATACAAACAAAATGTTAAGTGTTATTAATGTTGATAAAATATAAAATATGGACACTTATTTTGAAATATTGTATTATTATAGATGCTGCTGTGGCAACTCATACACGCATCATTGTGGAACTGGGGCGGATGTTCAAAGTTACACCACTGGCGACACCAGGGAAAAGGACCGAGAACAATGGTCTCCAGGAAAGAATACTTGTCCTTATCCTACTGATGCTTATGGTACCATAGAATTCCAGGGAGGTCCACATCCAACAAAAGCACAAGTATACTTAATATCCCTGACATGTTATCTGTTACATTATTATTGTAATTATTACAGTGAGAATAATGTATTATTTGCAGTATGTAAGATTAGCTCACGATACACGGCCGGAACCGATTGTGCAATTATTATGTCGAGAATGGAATTTAGGCTTGCCCAAATTGTTAATTACCGTTCATGGCGGTCGGTCAAACTTCGATCTTCAGCCAAGCTTGAAGAAAGTGTTACGTAAAGGTTTGTTGAAAGCCGCGAAAACAACAGGAGCATGGATATTCACGGGAGGAACGAACACAGGTAAATTTTTTTAGGTAAAAATGATACAATCTATGATGTAACGTGAAAGGAAGTTTTACAATATTTCTGTTGATTCTCATAGGTGTTACAAGACAAGTCGGCGACGCGTTGTTGCTGGAACGTTCTCAACGACAGGGTCGTGTTGTGAGCATAGGTATTGCTCCTTGGGGAATTTTGGACAAAAGCCATGAGTTAATTGGTCGCGGTGAAGAAGTGTCGTATGATTGCGTTTCTTCACCATGGTAAAAGTTCACTTTAAACATAACTATCTACTATTAAAACGTGGTGTTTCTGAAATTTTAAAAATATATTTTTGTACACGTGTGATTTTTCAGGACAAAATATACAGTATTAAACAATCGACACGCTTACTTCTTATTGGTTGACAATGGCACTGGCGGTCGGTATGGTGCGGAAATTGTTCTTCGTAGAAAATTAGAAAAATACATTTCAAACCTGAAGCTACAACCATGTAAATGTCACGATAGTGATGCCTAAAAGCCAGATTTCTGTAGTTCCCAGAGTTTTAATTTACTGTATCTTTCAGATACACACAGCAGCATACCTGTGGTTGCATTAGTCATTGAGGGTGGTACAAATACAATTCGTGCAGTTTTAGAATATGTAACGGACGATCCACCTGTGCCCGTGGTAGTCTGTGATGGTTCGGGACGTGCAGCCGATCTAATCGCATTTATGCACAAGTAATGGCAAATTTGCTTCCACCTATATTTAAAAGTGAATACAATTTATAAGCACGTATTTTTATGCGAGGTGTGCATTTTATACAGATGGAGGGATGGACAGACTGGTGACGGGGAAGGACCGCTGGAAGGTGTTAAAGAACAAGTTTTGGAAACCATTAAACGTACTTTCCAAGTTTCCGCTGAACAGGCGAGTCAACTCTGTTCGGAACTTTTGCAGTGTACACGAAAAAAACATTTGGTATGTATATACGTCTTATTAAATTTCCGTTTTGAGCTATGCATTCATTTGTAGATAGAATTTCGTTAAATGGCGATTGTATCTGCAGATCACTGTATTCAGGATATCGCAGGATAGACCGCAAGAACTCGATCAAACCATACTGACAGCTTTGTTCAAGTCGAAGCAATTATCCCCGGCCGAGCAGTTATCTCTTTCTCTAATATGGAACAGAGTAGACATCGCCCGAAGTGAGATATTCGTGTATGGCCAAAAATGGCCATCTGGCGCTTTAGAACAGTCTATGATGCAAGCGCTTCAGCATGACAGGATAGACTTTGTGAAACTTCTACTGGAAAATGGCGTAACCATGCGGAAATTTTTATCAATACCGCGTCTTGAGGAGCTGTATAACACAGTAGGTCAACTTTATTTCTGTAGCCGGTGTAGTTCCTTAGTAAACAATTTAAATATGGATACAAAATAGCCTCTGTTAGTGTGAGAGAAAGAGGGAGAGAAGAGGGTGATGATCGGTGTTTGCGATATAAATTTCAACCCATATATTCTTTTAAATTTATTTCTAACAGAATTTACTGAGAGAAAGAAACAAGGGAGTTGTTATGAAAAATATGCTGAAAATATGTCATTATATCTTGATAAAAGCTTATATAAACTAGTGATACAATACGTTATAATTCTTGCTTGATTATACATTCTTAATGTTTCCTTCTTTAATAAACAGAGAACGAAATTGTCCAAGTAATGTACTTAGATTAATTTTAGAGATTAGATTAATTAAATTAATTTTAGAGATTACACACGTAAAATATAGTATATTGAACGATTCTTTTTTTCTGATGGATCAATCAGAAAGAAGGTCCATCGAATACGCTAGGCTACATCCTGCGCGACGTACGACCAAATATCCCACGGGGCTACATGTACACGTTGCACGACATCGGTCTCGTGATCAACAAACTGATGGGTGGAGCGTATCGCGCGCAATACACACGCCGAAGATTTCGCGTGATCTACACAAAAGTGATGAAGAGGTCCGGTGGCGGTCATCAACAGCACATGCATCGGAATAGCTGCGCTGTGAATTGTAATACACGCTATTACGCAGGTTCTGGAGGGAAGTCCGACAGTTTGACCATGAGCCTGCTCGCTGAAACTTTACCAGCTAATCGTGACACTCCCCTTTTCGATTATCCCTTCAACGAATTGCTCATTTGGGCCGTGTTAACGAAGCGCCAGCAGATGGCTTTATTAATGTGGCAACATGGAGAAGAAGCATTAGCTAAGGCACTTGTCGCGCTCAAATTGTATAAAGCTATGGCACACGAAGCGGCAGAGGACGATCTGGAAACTGAAGTTTATGACGAATTACGCGGCTATGGCAAAGAGTTTGAAAATATTGGTACAATTCCAGAATTTTTCAGAATTGCTTATATATATCTCTCAGTATCATGTTACCGTATCATGAGAATAATATTTTTCGTAATTAACGTGAATCTTTTCTTGGACGCAGCCCTTGAATTATTGGACTATTGTTATCGACAAGATGATGATCAAACGCAGCAACTGTTAACTTCGGAACTTCAGAATTGGTCGGGACAGACATGTCTGTCCCTTGCAGTTACAGCAAACCATCGACCATTACTAGCGCATCCTTGTAGCCAAATTATTCTGGCTGATTTATGGATGGGTGGCCTTCGTACTCGTAAAAATACTAATTTAAAGGTAACGTCAGTTACCTGTAAATTGTATAACTTTGATTTGCAACCGATTAATTGATTATAAATTAAACAATTGAGATGCATTGAAATCTGTTCCTAGGTAATTATGGGGTTACTCTTCCCTATGTACATAGCACGATTGGAGTTTAAAAGCAGAGAAGAATTGCAACTGATGCCTCAAACACAAGAGGAACATTTAATAGCTCTGGAAGATGAGAAAGAAGACAGTGATTCCGAACATGGTGCACCAGCAGGACCAGATGTTGAGGTAATTATTTTGATTTTAAAAACCTACAATGGCGTTTGCTAACGCTTGTTTCTTAAGAAAACCTCAAATATACTTTATAACAATTATAATTTTTTAAGCTTACTGCAAAAGACCACAGTAATATGGTAACTGATGATGAGAAACACTTGTAGTATTATAAATTTGTAATACTAAATTGTCTTAACAAAATGTGAAATACTTGTGTTAATGATTTAATTTATTCATTAATTAAAGAACTTTGTAAATGTGCATTGGCTGCGAGAAGTTAATAGTTTTCCATTTTGGAAATCACACGATTAACGAGTGAAATAAGATAATATGGTTGCTGGTTTTGAGAGGTTTCCTCCCCAAAATTGTACATAAACGTATACACATGTAGCTTCTAATGAATATTCACTTAGGTAAAACATATTAATACACAGTCCATATATATTCAGCTTATATATTTTATTTTAATGGAATTATACGTCATTTCATCATTATAGTTGAAACAGTACAATCTTATCTTTGATTTTTGTTCGCTTCAGATTATCTGCGTCATTGATATGTACATTATTGCACCACATCATAATTGCTGGGTTAAGGGATATTACTATTGACATATACATGGTTTCTGAGAGATTAACTGTTCTCTATTAAAGGTGTATTGATCTACTTGTAACATTTAGACTATGTGGGTATGCGTGTTAATTATTTTTTAGAAACGTCTGCGCAGGAGCCTGAGCATACGCAACAAACCCAGCAGCCAACCAGGCGTTAAGGTATATCTATACTGGCCTGAACGCAGTGATCTCCTATACAATAATCTCACACTCTCTGGTGCACTCTTAAGCTACTTTTTTATTTGTTTGATCTTAGTTTTCATTGGTCATAATTCAACCACATAGTAATTGTTTCATATGCATTACGACATTCATATTGTAAAGAATAAAGACGATAAGATGAATTTCTTCAAATGTTGAGAGCTTAATAACTTGTCACGGTAATATCTAATTATATGTATATATTACACATGATGAGTTGATAAAACGATTATTCATTAAATATCAAATTTATACATAAACTGTGTGTATATACACAGAGAAAAAGCCTTTAATTATATTAATAACTATCCTTATAATATTTATATAACATTGTAATATAACATTGTCCTTAGTGTCAATATGCATATATGTAAGTAAATACATTCAATATGCATAATTATTTAAATCTGATTCATTAATATCTTGAGATTATATATCTTTCTTTTTATTAAAGAAAAAATATTAGGATATTATAAATTAAATTATATTTATTTATTAAGTTTGAAACTAAATTATATAGTAATCCTATATTGTTATAATGTATATTTTTATTTCATGCTGAAAAATATTACTTTCATCATGTGCATACATATTATGATACCGTTACAAATTTCTAATCACAATTCTTTCTTTACAGATAATTTTTACTTCTTTCCAAAATACATTATTGAACTATGCTTGTATAGAAATTGGAGTTAGGTTGTAATTACAATTCATTTTAAAAAATGTATTATGTATCTTCTCAAAGTTTACTATAATTTTATTTTAATTTTATTTGCAAAATAAAGTAATTAATATATATATATGTATATAAAAAAGAAAGCAAACTTGGATAAATTTGTAAATTTTATTTTAATATTTGCTTATTAATATAAATTTTTAGATTATAAATATATATTAGTGTATATATATATATGTGGATATATAATACACACACATACATATATATGTGTGTGTGTGTATATATATATATTAAATGTTATCAGTTTCATACCTATCAAATGTGCAAGTTCTCATATTTATAAACAAGTTATAGAATATCTAATTAACTTTGTCTACAATGTATCTCTATTATGTGTCATGCTACCTTTTTAGTGAATGATTACATAAAATCTAATCTCTCTTTTCCTTTTTCTCTTGTTTTTTGTTAAATGTTTGAAGTCGATATCAATATCCATTCAACCATGCACTGAGAAATTTACCTGATTTTATGTATGTTATTGTCCTTCCCAGTATATGAATAATTCGCTCGAATAGTGGTAAATTCTTTCTTGTGCTTTTCAATAGGCTTTAATTAGCAACGAGCACTGTACCGCAATAGTAAAGGAGACAATCGTCCAAGAGAATGGGAAAGTACTAACGGACCACGATGACGGTATTCATCGCGCTTACGGTCTTCGATCTGAATACTACGATAACAAAACAACCAGGCCATTGAGATTAAAAAAAAAGTTGTATGAATTCTATACCGCTCCAATTACGAAGTTTTGGGCGAACGCCGTAAGTATTTGTTCAATATTTGTTGTATTTTCGATACTGGCTATTGTATTATGAATGTAACATTGTTGCAGATAGCGTATATTGTCTTCTTACTTTTCTTCTCGTACTGCATCCTCGTGCAAATGGACGATCACCCGTCATTAGCCGAAATATACGCAATCGCATACATCTGTACGCTTGGATGCGAGAAAGTACGCGAGATCGCAACGTCAGAACCGGCGACGCTCTCGCACAAATTTAGCGTGTGGGCGTGGAATATGTGGAACCCGTGCGATGCAGCCGCGATAATATTTTTCCAAATCGGGCTAGCTTTACGTCTGCGACACTTGACTCTAGATGTAGGTCGCGTCATATACTGTGTTGATTGCATCTACTGGTATTTACGAATACTCAACATCCTTGGTGTCAACAAATATTTTGGTATGCTTAATATCAACCAAAGTAACTTACCTTTTCGTATTCGAAAATCTGCGTGGTTGGTTTTACAGAAAAGGATAAACAGCAATAGCTTGTAAATATATAATTGCAACTATATGTTTAATTATGTCTCGTAGGTCCTCTGGTGACCATGATGGGGAAAATGGTAAAGAACATGATATATTTCGTTGTGCTCTTGCTGGTCGTACTCATGGGTTTCGGTGTGGCGAGGCAAGCTATATTAAATCCCAATTCGGAGGCAAAGTGGCGTATAATACGAGATGTACGTACATATCTACTGCTTAGTGTCTATATACTTTCGAGTATAAATCTCCAATTTGGATTCGTGATTTTACTGTATTTCCTTTTGGTCGGTCGACAGATATTTATGCAGCCGTACTTTATGCTGTATGGAGAAGTGTATGCGGATAGTATAGATCCGGATTGCGGGAACGAGCCGGGAATGGTTCCGTGCCTTTCAGGTCGTTGGATCGTGCCTGCTGCAATGTCCGTGTATCTTTTAATTGCCAATATTTTGCTCATAAATATGTTAATTGCGGTATTTAACAATATTTTCAATGAGATGAATGCTATAGCTCATCAAGTCTGGATGTTCCAACGCTTTACCGTCGTTATGGAATATGAACAGAAACCGGTATTGCCACCACCACTTATAGTGGTTTGCCACGTATATTTACTGCTGAGATATTTTCTGAGGCACATTACGCAAAGTAAAGGCGGCACGGGCGAGACCTGCGACAACGGGTTGAAATTGTTCCTGGAGCCCGACGATATAGAACGTTTGTATGACTTTGAAGAGGACTGCGTCGAGGGCTACTTCCGCGAGCAAGAGCTCAAGTTGCAGATGTCCACGGAGGAGCGCGTGAAGGTCACGACTGATCGAGTGGAAAATATGCATCAGAAGATCGAGGATATTGACAAGAAAGAGAGTACTCAGAACGCGTCCCTTCAGGTACCGTTAATAACCATACTTGTATTCTCAATGAATATATTTTTGAATGTTTGATATCCGATAATAAAAAATGTTTTTTCTTTCCTTCTTATTTACAGGCAGTCGAATTCCGCATCCGCAAGTTGGAGGAACTGAGTCAACAGACTCTGGCGCACCTCGGAGTGATACATCGTTTCATGGCGACGTATATGCCGAACGAAGGACTGTCCGGTTTGGAGCTGGACGTTCGACAACGTCGGGTGTCCGAGCGATCGGAAGCTTTCTCCGAGGCGGACTCGCACACGCAATTGCCGACGGCGATGCGACGTAAGAGACTGTTGCGTTCCTTCACCGACGCCACCTTCCTGAACGTCGGTCAACCGTCTGTGGAGGATGACTGCTTGAAGATGTCCGAAACCGTGACTTCGCGCGAGAATCTCAGTAGAAACTCTTCCGTGAGTGTGGACGCTCATGCCGGCCAGGACGACATCAAGACGATGACAAGCGTGGAAACGGAGGGCAGTAAAGACGTACTCGAAGCAGGCGAAGTAACGGCGAAGAAGGAGGTGTTGCACGAGAGAGAAATGAGTCGCGAGATCAGCAGGGAGCCGAGCAAAGAGATGAGCCGGGAAGTCAGCATAGAGACTAGCAAGGAAATCAGCAGGGAACCGAGCAGAGAAGTCAGCAGGGAGACCAGCCGGGAGGCCAGCAAAGAGGCCAGCAGCGAGAATCCACCGTCGGACACCAGGCAAGATTCCATAGAACGTCCTACGTTCAGGCAGAGCAGCAGAACCAAGTCAGAGTCGGACGACATTATGCTGCTACCGCCACCCAGCATCCAAAGAGCTGTGACCTGGGCGGAACCCCGCGTCGCCGTGATCCCGTCGTCCGTTACATCCGCCGGCAGCGCTCAAAGATCAATCTTGCTGACGATGCGCGCCGAATACACCAGCATAACGGACGAACTCGAGAGTTACTGCGGCCTGCTGAGTCCGCCGCGAACACCACCGGTCTCGCCGCCGCCGTCGCGAGTCCGCAACATATCGGACATCTCGAATCCCGAGATGGCGTGGCAAATCGAGAACGAGCACCTGCGCGACGCTGAGGAATGCGACTATCAGCAAATGGAGGATCTGATTCAGCGGCGGTATCGGGAGGACGACGATGACGGCGGCGACGGCGACGACGACGACGAGCAGCCACCAAGCGCGCCGGACGAGGCGGCCGTCGCGTGCTTCTTCAGCGTGTCCAACGACCATCGTCAGCTGCGTCGTACCTCCGCGATCGATGAGGACTCGCGTAGACCGCCGCCGACCATCAGCGTCACCAGGGAGATCGAGCAGACGTTGTCGCGACCACCGATACGCGAGTCGGAGACCGCCGATCCGAATGACAAGAATCTGAGCACCGTACCTGCCCCCGCTTCGGAAACCATGTGTTGAACGAAGCGAGATATGTTGTCTCTTTCGAGAATTTCGAGAAGTATGCATGATTCGTTATGTGATCTCTAAGGGCTTTTTACAATCGATAATTATCTGTTATCGGCTTAGTGATTGTATTCACGCTGTCGGATATAATGCTGTCGACATAACCCGGGTATTTCGTTAATCGTTATTATTAAAATTATTGTTAATCGTTATTGTTCAAAAGTCAATAATGGAAATGTCAAATTATTTTATTATTCATTAAATTAACTTTAGCCGCAAGTTACTCATGCACGGACGCAAAATTAAAGTTGCCTTTTCTCGGTCCGGCTAGGCGTGAAGCCCTCCAGTCAATATATTGATATAATATAAAGCAATCTATGTATTACGATAATTATATTATTATTTGTATTAAAACAATGTAGAGAATACCTTTAATTTTGTAAGTAATACGAAGCAGTAACGTGTTCATTCATTCTTTGTTATCATGAGAAAAATTAGTTAATATCTGAAATTAACTATATACCCTCGAGTATCCGGATAATATCCGAGAAGCTCGAATAGTCAAGATTGACAGCATTTGTCGGACGGCGTGTTCTTGGTTTTCGATGAATAGGTTGTATCATTATCGGTGATGCGCATTGCGTTTTGAACACTCGACGATTATCAGTGATTAAACTTAATTTCTGACGACCATCTACCTGATGGCATGCCAAACTACGTCATCCATATAACGTAGTTGTGCATCGACACACGTATTAGACGGTCGCGAGACATCTTCCACGATTCTCGACTCAGAGGAATCTATCTCGAGCTGGAACGCTCCTAAGTATGCGAAATCACTTCGCATACACGCATGGCCTAAGTAGTATATTTTTTAGTGAACTAATTGTATTGTACATTTTACGTGTAATAATCGTGTGTGATTTTTATCGATTTTTATATTATATTATTGCGTCGGTGCTTCTGATCTTCTATAGTGAACGAACGACGATTATCTCGTTACAACGTTACAATTGTCTCATTGGTCTTTTAATATATTACATGCACACGCGCGGAGAACGTCGGATTTGAAATTCCTTTTGTGTCTCGAGCTGTTTACCGTATCTCTGTCCCAGAATTTTATCCGATGCATCGAATCACATGAAAGTACGGTGTATTGTGTTCCGCGAGGAAAGTTACGTTGTCTCTACTTATGTCCACCGCGTCTGATGCATTCTGTGCACACTCGAAGTCCTTCCATTTGGTAGATTGACGTAACTTGGCGATTTTATATGTGCGCACCTTTATTTTAACAGTTGTGTGTGTATATATATATATATATATAATATATAATATATATATATATATATATATATATATATATATATATAATATATATATATATATATATATATATATATATATATATATATATATGCACACACATATACATACATACATACATTGTTTAGAATGGGATATCAAAAGTTCTCATATATAGAATATCTACTGTATTAACTTATACACAATGATACTTAATGAATTAGTCAGCGAACGAGTCGCATCCTACGATACGTTTGTGCATGGTTCAAGTGTGACGAATCCGACTTAATTTGTGAAAACTCGAGGCGGGAAACCCGGGTTGAAGGTGCAGGCTCTCATCCTAATCGATTTCTAGGTGTAAATACGTTGCCGCGAGCCGCAGTAAAGAGATTGCGTCTCAGGCGCGGCTTTATTGTCCTTACTGCCGGATACTTCGATCGACTTTTTTGAGGTGTATTTAGGGCCTTACAACGCACTTTCAGCTGCGTCGGACTTTCACGGACCATTTATAAGAGCGAACCATATCACGCAGACACGTTCTAACGAACTAAAGCCAATCTGCGTTAGTACAATTGCAACTATTTAAAACGAAACTTTGATACCTGTACCTAAAATGCCTAAATGTATAGAGATATATTGTGTGTAGTTGTTATAAATCGGAGAAGATTGAGAGAGAAAGAAAGAGGGAGAGACGGCGAATTCAAGCGTGTTCAACAAAGGTTCACAGTATAACTGTAAACTGATGTAGCAGTCGGTCGCCAACTTGTTTCGAGTGCTAACAACTTTCTATATTTTTGTCTAGATTAATTATTCTTGTATAATGTGCGCTAGCTGATAAATGCCAGCGACTTTCTATATATTTTTGTCTGTCTAGATTAATTATTCTTGTATAATGTTGTACCGTATCATTGGATATTATTACAGCCACTTTTATTCGGTCAAACCGTTATTTATACGATACCGTCAATGGAGATGACAGTTTGACGCGTTGTACGTTCTCTCTGAATACAATTCCGACACGATCCGAATATATCGCGGTATCGTCTCGCATGCACTTACGATACCACACGTTTTTTCTAAAAAAATCACTCTAACTCTACTTCAACCCCTCTCCGAATTGTCCGAGTGAAAATAATACGTGAATATCTCTCGCGTGATATCAGCTTTGACGTGAAACGATCGAAGACTAAATAGTTTTTCAAAAGTACGTATTATTATATCGATCTATATTCCTCCATTCTCGACGAAGAGGCTACGCCTTCGTAATGAGGCTTTATCGATTTCATTATTAATGTCGATGTAAAATCAAAAGCAATATTATACATTTGTAAGACGCACGATCGATGAGATTATCGTATATCGTGAACAATATTTAATTGCACAATAATTACTCATTGGAACACTTAAACGAGACAATATTAGTGTTGATATGGCGTCGTAATTATGCTTTCATTGATTCCTACGTACAGGAACACTCATAATATTCATTTGTACATACAATTGTCGGATTGTGTGTGTCTGCCAACGAATGGAGTAATATTGCTTGAATGCATTTCTATTATTCGTATTATATACTATAGGGACGCGTAATTTTAATGTGTTTACTAAATATATATTACGTAATGATATGTGCAGCATACACATACACACATGGTGAATCATTTGCTCAATTTTATTTTCATATATATACGCAATATAGATAAATATCTTACGATATCAAGAGAGGAGGAAAAAGGAGAGACAGCACACATTTTCTCGATATGAATTTGTATATATACACACACGCGCAATATACGCAGCGATTAATACAAACTTTCGAACAGACACACACACATGGAATATTCAATAATAATAATAATATTAATATTAATTGCAGCGATAATAATAGCATATAATAGTAATTATACTTATGCTCTTATTGCGTATTTATGCCGCGATTGTACTTTGAATATTTATATTTCTTATGCACATACGAATGTACATACTTACATTTGTACTTTACTGCATAGATCTTTGTGTATTTATCTCTCCGTTTCTCGATGTAGAGAGTCAATTAACGCTCTTCCTTTCGTCGTACGTTATAATACGCAAACGCTAGTCATAGTGAACGGTCATCGAATCACTGGCTGATTCCGTGAATGTGTTAGAGCGGATAAATCATATCACACAATCGTTGACACGACACTCCGAGAATCAATTCCGAGATACGACTTAACTTTTAACGACAGGCGAGTACAGCGCGAGCGAAACACAAGCGTTACTTAACTCGTTCTCGAATCTAGAGCTAAGCTAAGTATCGTTCCGTTGTCAGAATCCTTATCCGTCTAGGCATTGGCAATCATTCCGCGACGCTTCCCGTTTTTAGGAAGCCGCGCGCACGTAAAGATCTGCTATGAACGCTGTCGACCGTAACAAGCAATTGTACCTCGACGGTACCGATGTAGCTCATAGTCGTACGTGTAAATTAACTAGTGTCATTAACGCACGAACGAAGCGCACAGAAGTTGTCAATAAGAGCTTGACGGACGGTCTTGCGGCTGCATAAATTTATTGTTGTGCAAATTTATTAACGTCGTAAAACTGATTTGTTCGACGCGTTATAATAAAAAAAATGTCAAGCTCTTCCTGATCATTTCTGTGCGTTTCCAGATAGCACAAAATCTTCAGAGAATGTTCTGGAATGTTCTTAGAACGTCTTTAGAACATCCTTTGAAGATTTGTGCTGCATGGGTTCCGTTCGTTTGTTATTCTTAGAGCAAATAATCTTGTAGGATTTTCTAGTGTCATTAATTGGTGTTTTTTGCCGCGTTGCTCCTACGTTACGCACGCACGCATGCACGCTCGCACGCACCTACCTTCGCTTCTACTATCGCGTATCAACGTTGCTGAGGATTAATATTTCACGAGCCGCGCGATTATCTTGTGTTATCGTTAAGTCGCGTTATATCGCCGTATTCGAGTGAGAAAACGAAAAATCAAAACGAACCGACATCCCCGGCGCTCACAGCGAGACAGAATGTAGCGTGTACGTTAGATCGTTTAACTGTCATTCGGCAGTGCAGTACAATACATTGCGCTTCGTTATCGCGAGCAGATTACGGTAGCACATATATTATTAGCGCGGCTAATATATAAGTCTAATCGATGACGAACCGGGCGAACCCGTTGATTGTATGTACTTCGGAGTACGTAATTGTCCACAACCGTGCAGTTAATGATCGTGAAATACGTGCCTTCTCGTCGTACTATCTGTTTTTTACAATATACAAAACGCATGCATTTTCAATTTTTATTATAACAATCGAATTCTAGGGAGAGGTGCCGACTCCGCGCGACGCGCGACTCCCGGAGCGCAAATTCGCGATCAACACAGGAGTCTAATACAATTGTAATCGTACATATAATTCTCGTAGTCTCTTTTTTCCGACGTCATGTAAGCTAACAGTTGCACACGTGTTTTCTTCCTTGTAGCTTGCTTGTAACTCGACAAACTCGACTCGTATATATTACATCAGGAGGCTCAAGTCTCTTCAGACTAAAAAACAATTTCTTTGCAGTCGCTATCGTCACGTATCGAATATAACAGCGAGGAGGAAATGTGATTATTATAAAGATGAAACACAAAAAGCAAAACCATAATTGGTTGCATCTTATGCGACGTTGTACTGCGAATCAAACTGGATTTATCCAACAAAAAAAGGAAATATATATATGTATATACACATATATACATATTATTTCAAAACCGAGTTTCATTCCTTTAGTATCATCGATTTCTTTAGACAACTTTTGTTTAGAAAATATCTAATTTTTATATTTTAGATTATATATATAGATATAAGTGTAATTTAAGCTTTTTATATATAATCGTGACGCAAGAACGTGCGTTACACGCGATTCGCCGAAATGTCCGGATGAATTTAAATTGTTGATGTTCATAGTGTTAATTAATTTAGGCGATTGGAATATACGGGATATAGACCTAATGTGCGCCTTACGTGCGGCACAATCGAGTCGTTCAGGATTGCTGTGTAGCAGGTGATACATTCCCACAGTGGATGTTGCGATAAGCGGACACATTTCGGCGTACAGTATCGTTTCACATAATTACTCGATATGAGAAAGTCTCGTTTTAAGCTCAGGAACTTGGGAACGCTGCTTGCGTACCGAAAGGCGCGGAAATCTCGCGGTGTTTCGTTTTGGATAAGTGCCCTTCGGGATCTCGTGGATGCCGACGGTCCACGAGACGAGCCTCGTCGACACAGACATCTCGCGGAGAGGTGTGTGATTCGCGATGACTTCCAGTCAATTTGTCACGCTCGTTCAACTCGTTTAATCAGAGGCATTTCTCTTGCAGGCTGACGAAGCTCACGATATACACGATAGCTGTCTGCTGCATGATGTTCTCGATGATCGATCTAACGATGACGTACAAGAGGAGCCCGACTGTCACCACCCCCGAGACGAAGCTGTATCCGATGCAGAGGATCAACTATCCGGCGATAGCGATTTGCAATGTCAACCGGATCAGCCGGAGGGCGGCGATCGACTTCGCTCACGAACTGTATGTATAAATCTTAATGTTTTTACTATCAATCTATTGAAATAGAGTGGATTATAATCATGTAATTGCTACAATAATTTCGGATAAATTGCGTTCTCTTTTCAACAAAATAAGCAGCAATTCTTATGGCATTTCTCAAATGACTTCTTTTATATACTGATGCAATTTTTGCTGTATGAGAACGCATCTTTATATACTTGTGTCAATCACTAAGCAGACAATGTGTCGAAATACATCTGAGTTAATATTGCTTTGTATCACACGCAGTTTAGAGTTCGAGAGCACCGTACTCACTGCAAACCTGACATTGTCAGACATCACGCACATGTTGAGCCTGTTGGGTCAGCTGTATCTGGATAATATCGGTGAGGCCGAGAGCGAGACTACAAAGCTCCTGCACACGATCCTGGAACGTGGCTACAATGGCTACGATGTGAACAGAATAATGAAACGAGTAAATTGATACAAAGTGTATTTCGATCTAGCTTCCAATGTATTCTATAAAGAAGTTTCCCACTTTTCATGCGACAGCTCTCGCCGAAGTGCAGGTTCATGTTGCGAAAGTGTTCGTGGGAGGGTAAGGATCAAGCGTGCGACGATGTCTTCTTGCTGAGGAAGACTCAAAACGGCTTCTGCTGCACGTTCAATTACGCTAGACGCAACGACGGCTTCGGAAGGTGCGCTGAAAAAAATATTTAAAAATTTATTTGTGGTATACGTAGAGTTCATTTCACGGAAATAAACTTTATATCCCAAAAATAATTCACAAAGGTCAACTTTATATTCCACAAACAAATTTCTTAATATTTTTTTCTCAGTACGTTGCTCGCTAATAGTGTCAATTATTCATGCAATTCTGATGTATAATTCTTTCTCTGTTGTAATGATATTGTCACACAAGCAGCGCGCAAAACGATGTCTTCACGTCTCAGCACATTGAGCGTTCGACAAACATCGGTTCCGAGTACGGTCTGTCCATTCTCTTGAATCCACACCTAGACGATTCCTTCTACAAAATTCTACCGATGAATGGTTTCAAGGTAAACAGTCTGTCAGCGTTTGTCTCTCTGCGGAGTTCGCAGAAACTGTCATAGTTTACACAAAGCTGATGAGAATTGTTTTGATCTGTCTATGGAGATATCGGTGTATGATCCTTTGGATTATCCTGATGCAACAAGCGGCAACGTGCGCGAAATCTTGGTTTCCCCTAAAATGGAAACTTATATCGATCTGGATGCGATTATATTCGACAGCACCGAAGTAAGTTCACGATTAATCTATGGTCGAGAACTAATCGTCAGTTGTATCTATTAATATTATAGTATTGATCTTATTAGTTTGATAATTTTACCATTGCAGAATGTGCAAAAGTACGACATACAGGAACGCGATTGCTTGTTCCAAACGGAGCACTCCAAGATATTTCACGGTTACTACTCGTACAGCGATTGCATAGTACATTGTCGCGTACAAGATATCTTTCAGCTATGCAACTGCGTGCCATTTTTCTACCCGATAGCGGGAGAGATCGGTAACGGCAAGTAGACTCGTTCATGTTATTTGAGACACTATGTGAATATTTAATATATTCTAATGAAAGTTGCAAAGATATCAGCTAAGTTTTTCCCAATTTTACAATCGACTAAATATGTTCTAATTCAGCTAATTGTTTTCGAGCAAAATTAATCGAAAAATGTTTAATTGACAATTGATTTCAACGAATTCAATTAAAGTTCGCTCGATTGAATTAGCTCATATTACTCGTTAATTAAACATGGTAATTAAAAAATTAATTTCAACCCTAGCTCTAATACGTCTCTTTTGTTCAGCCTTTGCGCAAACCTGTAATCTGAAGGATTTGCCTTGTTTGAAAAAGTACCGAGGTTTGTTTACATCATCATTGAGCTTGTCATTTATTGCGAATGCGAAATTCGTTGAATCTTCAGAATATGCTTTGTGTTGGCGAGAAATCTTAATCAGAATACATCTATGATTTATCAGAGAGATGGCGAAACATAAAGCCTCGATTTGAAAACACTATGGTACCGTTCGATGAGAGCGAGTTCGAGGGAACATTCGGTTATCTGAGTTGCGACTGTTTTCCATCTTGCAGTGATGTGACGTACAGCGTGCGATCCAGCAGCATCCCCTTGAGTCTCACCGAGCTGTCGTGGGGCAGGTATGGACTGTATATAAAAATAATTTCAATAAAAATATTCAGTTGTATAAATAGTTGTTGCGTCTCTATCTCCTAGAAGTAAATATCCGGTCAATAACCACAGCGTGGTGCATATTTATTTCGGGAAGAGCGACGCGATAAAATTGCGACAGGATGTGCTCTTCTACTGGTACGAACTCATGAGTAAGTTCTTCCACTATTCTCTCTACGGATATAAATGTATCGCAATCACTTATCTAAAGAACATTCAATTATTTAAACTTATCGCCGCAGGTAACTACGGGGGCGTATGCAGTCTGTTTCTTGGAATTAGCATTATAAATATAATTGAGATATTATATAAATTAATCGCATGGACCTGGAGATCCGGGGCGATAGATAAACCCAAAACGAACGGAGCCTCAGCGCAAACAAAAGATAAGATTGAAGAGAATCGAGACATCACGAAGGTGACAACGATCGCAGTGCAGCCCGCGCCGGTACAGGAAGTCACTCAGTCGATTCATTGGCGAGAAATAATCGGTGCTCTTCCCAAAGGACAATTAAATGATTTATTACCGAACTTGTTATCGGAACACTGATGAAATGTACATACACAGAAAGAGAGATGCCGTCCAGTCTTGTGTATCGAAAAACATCCTTTTCCTTTATTGTCAGCACTGTTCGTCGCACTCTGTTATGTAGGGCGGCGCGCATATGCTGTGCTTTGCACCAAACGAGAAAGCAGGAGTTGGCTTGGGCAACTTGACGTCATATATCGGACCTGGACTTCGAGGAAGGGGTGTAAACTTATATTGGCGCGCTATGCTGTACGCTGGAGCTTTCGGGTTTGTCATGTCCAAATCGTACGGCGTGTATGGGCCCGCACTAGCCTTGACTTTCATTGCTGGCCAACGCAATCCTCTGCAAACAACAGAATAATTCCTTGCGATAATGCGCAGGTTGTCAAATCTTAAAGTTTAGGGTCTTATAACTTCAGGTAGCAGTGGAAAACGCTTTCAGTCGAAAATTACAGTACGATTTTGGGCGTAAAGCATGAAGCTAAACTACAGATTTGTAGGAGTTAGAAGTAAAGCAGTGAGTAAGCTTACATGGTAAACACAGGTGCGTCAGTGATGGGCTTGACGTAGCCAGGTCCTGGTGTCTCGTCGACCTTCCTCTGCTTGGTCCTCCACTTCATTGAGAAGGAAGGACCACGAACAACGGGCAATGTGTACTTCATACCAGGTCCAGTAGTGATAACTGTCAAGTGTATCAAGAAACAGCTATGATCATCGTATACTGCTGCAGTTCGAACGAGGAAATCGCTGTTTCTTCTTACCGCGTTGTATAGCGGCCATTCCGATGGTATATCCTTCGCGTCTGCGTTCCTTAGGCATGTACTTCGGTCCCGGGCCGACTGTCTCGTAACTGTGCTTCACACGTTTGCCGAACGTGTAAGCTGGATTTCGAAACGTCGAGATGCAATGTCCCTCATAACCGACGAGAGTTTTGAGTTTATATTTGGGTCCGGGAGCTGTGGAAAGAAAATAACGATATCAATTCTGCAATTCTGGTATGTATATATTGATCATACTTCAATAATTCTCTTTATCGAACCGTTAATTAAAACTTTTCGCGCTCTTAATATATGAGGAGAGATCCGCTTTATTAGGATATTATATAAAATATACATTTGTGTATTCATACTCATATGCAAAATTAATATCTAAAGTAAGTTGGAATGCATACTGATTACGCCGCATATAGCGTTCCTGGCCAATGTCACTGTTTTCCTTTTATTCGCGGTTCTATCTTTCTTACGTTCTCTTTTCGGCGGCATCTCTCTTCACTTGTAAATTTGGAAGTTTTATTCGAAATGTATGTTTTTTCTTGGGGTTACATTATCATGATTACGGCCGTGAGAAAACAATTGCTTCTTATAAATCACTTCAATCAAGAATATACCGTGAATATAAAATAATAAAGATATCACAAGACACAGAATCTTATTCTACCTCCTTGTAATATCTGATTTCCTGTATTTAATCGTTTTAAAATAGATTGCTCAGAAAATCATATGATCCAGTTTCTCCACAGAACGCATTTATTACGGATACAATGCAACAGTATCGACGTACAATACGCAATTTTATCGCAAGGACCTTCCAGTTGCAAAATCAATCCTCGTCCTGCTGCATGATAGGTATTCCGGTGCATTCGCTATGCTTTACGCCAAACGAGTACATAGGTGCGCGCCTTCGCGTGTCGTACAGCGGATAAAAGGTCGGCGCCGGACTACGAAATTTCTCCGACAGAAAATGTCGCTCTCTCAGACTGTATGCGGGACTCCGACGTTTCACCAGGTTATAGTCCAATTTGGCGTACGCGGCCGGACCTGGACCTATGATAGCCGTGCTTATCTCGCGATGACCAGTACTAAAAGAAAAAATAAATAAATTGTGTGCGTGTTAAATGAGACTGCAAAAGAGCCGCACAAGGATCCATCTCACATAGAAAATGCGCCCTGGGCCCGCTTATCGGGCACCTTGGGTCCTATGCACGTGGGTAAAAGATACGAATTCGGGCTTGGTCCATCGTCGAGTAACTTCATCTTATCCCGCGACTTGATACTGTAAGCTGGCGCTCTGCGACTGTGATTTATCGGTGGACACAACTCGGGCGAGTACGCTCCAGGTCCCGGTCCAACATCTCGCACTATAAAGCTATCAATGTATTAAAGCACTGCTCGCTTTTTGAATCAATAAAAAGCACATCTGACGCCCTTACATTTCAATGCTTCTTTGCCTTTGATTGTATAAGCAGGTGGATTATCTTGTCCAGACTTGGTCAATTTCGACACGTTGTAACAAGGACCAGGTCCTATCAAATAAGATCTCATGCCAGTTTTAGGTCGAATGGAGTATGCTGGATTCCTGTGTCGCGATGGATCGTGGTCAGTGTAACCGGTTAATGTTGGCAATTTGTAGACTGGACCAGGACCTGTGCACAAAAATTCATATTAACGCGACTCGACTAAACTCGTGATTTGGTTGCAATTCAACGCAAATGATCACCTGGTACCTCTTATTCTGCAGCTTGGTATCTTCTTTTCTATATTCTCCATCATGAGATATTAAAAAGAATGTATAAAATCTATAAAGGGATATAAAAATTTTTCACAACAGCAGGTTATTAATAAAATATGAAAATCGTAGAACATAATTGACATATTCACAGTAGTCAGTGTGTATTTGTTCAACTAAACAGTGGTCTAGGAAATATATAAAAAAACAAAGATTGCATTGTAGTTAAAAGTTTATTTAATACAATTTTTTCTATGTAAGTGAATCTAAATCATCATCAATATCACTGTCGTAATTATCATCATTCTCTTCTTCTTTGACAGATAACAACTTGAGTTTCATTAGTAAATCTTCTCTGCTTTTAGGATTTGTTATATCTTCACTTATGTCCTTGCTGTCAACTTCACTTGTACCTGACTGAGAGATATCTTTCTTATTTTTATCTAAACATTAAACAAAAACGTATTATTATAAACAATTTGATGCATTATACAACAAAATATAAATTTTTTTTTTAATAAATCATTACCTTTCTGATGTATGTAACGTAAAAATGTCCTTCGTTTCCTTTCTGGTAATGTTTTCAGGAGTGCCTGAAGTTCTGCATCCAATTTAATTTGTTCCTCTTTACTTGGCTTTCCTTCCATAATTTCGCCCTTTACTCCACACTTTGGACAAACTTCTTGTTGTTTGGCACAAGGTAAACACATGATATGATACGAATGCTTTACAGTTTTTTGTTCACACTTTGTACATTTTGCAGGAGTTTTGAGCAACTTATACTTTTTATACTTGATCTTCCATTCTATTATCTTTTTACAGCGTTCACATACATTGGCAACTTCAATACTATTAAGCAACTTTGTTTTATGAGAAGTGTCGTGCAGGTTATTTTTAAAGGCTGTGCGATTTTGATGTTTCTGCGGTCTCGATCGACTAGCATTTCCTTTTTGACAACTCATGCTTCTAGCATTGTAATATTTCAGTTGATTCAATAAATATACAGAAAAGGTACGTCTTTTCTTTAAACTTTTATTAATTAAAAATTATAACCAATGTATAATGGATATAAGGTTATGGCAAATCTTGGTAATTATATAGTTTAGAGTCCTCACATTTGATTTGACTGAAATTCAACAATATTGTTTATTTTCACACGTAGAAATCAAATATGAAAGTTAAAATCGTTGCACTGCCCCGCAAAACGAGATATTAATCGTTAACAAGTATGATAGATTATGAAATTTCTCTTTTATGATTACAGGCTTTCCAGCATAAGCCCAATCTCCAGTTTTTAATTCTTTACTATGTAAGGTTACAACTGTTAACTCGTGTAATGAATAGAATAAGGCCTTGGAAGCTCCCAAAGCAACGTTCCAAAAATTACAAGGCCCGAACTTGTTCGAACACGTTTTGTTGTGACAGCGGTTAAGCCGGGACTTTGAAGGTTATGAAATTTGTCATAGCGACAAAATGTACTAGTTACTGGTTCACTACTGGTTTGGGCGGTCTCACGATTTTCGCCCTAACACCATTTGTACTAGGAATGAGTTAAAGGGATTGGTTGGTATCTGTAAGGAACTGGTGGATATTTTTAAAAGGACGTGGATTTGGTGCGAATGCTGCCTTCAATAGGTGCTTTCCAATTGCTTAACACATCTTGACACACACGTACACAAACCAGTTTATTGGTCACATATCTAAAATATCTTGTAAGATAATATGCAACCAATAAACTGATTTTGTGTAACACAGTGTACTCAACTGGAAAGCATCTAATATCGATGATATATATAAAATTTATATATATCGTACTATTTAGTACGTGTAGTCGAAGATTATCTAATAGAAAGTTACTATTTAGTACGCGTATCAAGTGCACGATGTAAACCAAGCCATTGACAATCTTCTTGCTCCAGAATGTTTTTCTTGTATAAATGTGTACCTGTACAGATATATGTTTCAACTACACTGCTGAATTGGTGCAATAAGTTAAAGTGAGACAAATATATGTTTTCTCACTCTAACTTATTGCACCAGTTCAGCAGTGCAGCTGAAAAGAACAGACCAAAAGTCTCCACTACGAGCTGCCACTTTTTTGACGAGGAATTGAAGTAGTAATGGCTATAAACAGCATCTGTATTGACCAATACTTAAGCTAAACACACACACTTTTCGTAACAGTACCGTAAGACGTAACGTAAGAATTGACCAATAATGATCGAGTATTCATAAAAATGGCGACCTTATAATTGACGATTCTCAACATGATTGGTCAATTCTTAGGGTGCCGTCCCATTGAGCACGGATCGGAACGCCGGATCGGATTTCTTACTCTAATGAGCGTTCCGTTCTCTAGTTCCGTTCCGTAAAAGTTTCCTCTACCAGTCCCATGTAGCAAAAACGGAACGGATTTCTAGTTATAAAATATATTTCACTCTTCAATTAAATATTTCAGAATATTCATGACAATGTTATCGGCAAGATAATTGCATAAATTATGTATATAATTAATTCTGTCGCGTCAAAATAACGAAATATTGACGAATTAATCATATTTATTTGCGACCGACGCGCCATTCCGTTCCGTTTTTGCTACATGGAACTGGTAGAGGAAACTTTTAAGCGTCTTCTACAATGGCAGTAGGAGTAGTAGTAAGAAATAAGCAGTAAGTAAATAGACTAATCACAATCGATTATTTTTGAAACGTAAGAATGGAATTGGTCAATTTGCTTACTGCTTATTTCTTACTACTACTCCTACTGCCATTGTAGAAGACGCTTTACGGAACGGAACTAGAGAACGGAACGCTCATTATAGTAAGAAATCCGATCCGGCGTTCCGATCCGTGCTCAATGGGACGGCACCCTTAGAGAAATAACGAGTCTGAAATAACATACAGAAAAATAACAGAAGTAACATATGGTTGCAAAGTAGCTTCTCTACTACTCAATTATAGTGTCCTTGTTCAAAAACGATCAATTTTGAAACACAGTTAACATCTTCAAGTATTTAGAGAACTTATAGAAGTTCCCACGCATAAACAATCGTGTTAAAATGGCGGTTCCCTCGGTCTCTCTGAATACACGAAATAAGAAGCTCTTTTTAGGAGTACCAGCACCGTTGGGATATGTTGCTGGTGTTGGCAGAGGGTAACGTCGAATGGACTACATAATTACATGAATATTCATAGGAATATTATCTATAATCATAATAGCTGTAATATAAACGTACTTAACCTGTCTCTTTATTTTCTAGTGCTACTGGATTCACTACACGATCTGATATCGGTCCCGCTCGAGATGCGAATGACGTTTCGTAAGTAGAAAATCTATTTTTTTTGCTATTCAAGTAACACAGAATTTATAAATTATCACATGTTATATTTTACTCTGAATTCAGTGATGACAGACACGCTCCTCCTACAAAGCGTGCAAAGAAGAAAGAAGAAGAGGAGGAAGACGAGGAAGACTTGAATGATTCAAATTATGATGAGTTTTCTGGATATGGAGGTTCCCTTTTCAGCAAAGTAAGTAAAAGTAATTCTTTTTCTCAGTATTACTGAGGATACTAATATCCTGATAATATTAGGATCCTTATGATAAAGATGACGAAGAAGCAGACGCAATTTATGAGGCCATTGACAAACGTATGGATGAGAAACGTAAGGAATACAGAGAGAAACGTCTCAGAGAAGAATTGGAACGTTATCGTCAAGAACGTCCCAAGATCCAACAACAATTCTCAGATCTGAAGAGAGAGCTGGTTAACGTAACTGAAGATGAGTGGAGAAACGTTCCTGAAGTAGGAGATGCCAGAAATCGCAAACAACGCAATCCAAGAGCAGAGAAATTTACTCCACTGCCAGATTCTGTACTGGCCAGAAATCTAGGGGGTGAGACATCCACCAGCATCAATCCATCCAGTGGTTTGGCTTCTATGATGCCAGGAGTGGCGACGCCTGGTATGCTGACTCCCACAGGAGATCTTGATCTGCGGAAAATTGGACAGGCCAGGAACACACTGATGAATGTGAAATTGAACCAAGTTTCTGATTCTGTGGAGGGCCAAACTGTAGTTGATCCAAAGGGATACCTCACAGACTTGCAGAGCATGATACCAACTTATGGGGGTGACATAAAGTAAGTGTGCTTATTAAATATTTTTCATATTATTTAAATGTAATACAAAGAATTCGCAAATAACGCCTAACGATTTTTCAATTCTTTTCAGTGACATAAAGAAAGCCAGATTATTGTTGAAGTCTGTCCGTGAGACTAATCCCAATCATCCGCCTGCGTGGATCGCGTCTGCACGTTTGGAAGAAGTGACAGGAAAGGTCCAGGCAGCGAGAAACTTGATAATGAAGGGTTGCGAGGTGAATCCTACTTCCGAGGACCTGTGGCTGGAAGCCGCAAGATTGCAGCCACCGGACACAGCGAAGGCGGTGATAGCACAGTCGGTACGACACATCCCGACGTCCGTGAGGATCTGGATAAAAGCCGCGGACTTGGAGATAGAAATGAAAGCGAAAAGGAGGGTGTACCGCAAGGCTCTGGAGCATATACCGAACTCGGTGCGACTGTGGAAGGCGGCGGTCGAGCTGGAAGAGCCTGAGGACGCGCGTATCTTACTCAGTCGCGCGGTCGAGTGCTGCCCGACCAGTGTGGATCTATGGCTCGCTCTCGCTAGACTGGAGACTTACGACAACGCGAGAAAAGTTCTGAATAAAGCCAGAGAGAACATACCGACGGATCGACAGATCTGGACCACCGCTGCGAAATTAGAAGAAGCGAACGGCAACAAACACATGGTGGAGAAAATTATCGATCGCGCTATAACGTCCTTGAGCGCAAACGGAGTGGAGATCAACAGGGAGCATTGGTTTAAAGAAGCCATGGAAGCTGAGAAGGCGGGAGCGGTACATTGTTGCCAGGTTATCGTCAAAGCTATTATCGGTTTCGGAGTAGAGGAGGAGGACAGAAAACACACTTGGATGGAAGACTCGGAAACTGTAAGATTCTTTACCCCGTTTCAATTTTATAAGAGTGATGACACAATGCGAGAACTAACACAAATCATATTGTTGTATATAAAGTATATTGTTATAAAGTATATAAAGTAATAAAGTATATTGTTTGCAGTGTGCCCAACAAGGAGCGTTAGAATGCGCCAGAGCAGTCTATGCATATGCATTGACAGCATTTCCCAGCAAGAAATCGATCTGGTTACGTGCGGCTTATTTCGAGAAGACTTACGGCACGCGGGAATCCCTGGAAGCCTTGTTGCAAAGAGCAGTCGCTCATTGTCCCAAGAGCGAAATACTCTGGTTGATGGGCGCCAAATCAAAATGGCTGGCTGTGAGTAAAGAATCGCATGAAATGAAATTTGAATCGCATTCGATCTTCATCTTCTCTTATCTTGAAATCTCTTTGTCAGGGCGACGTGCCAGCAGCCAGAGGTATCTTATCTCTCGCGTTTCAAGCCAATCCAAATTCCGAGGAAATTTGGCTGGCTGCAGTGAAGCTGGAATCTGAGAATTCAGAGTACGAGAGAGCGCGACGTTTACTGGCGAAAGCGAGGGCATCGGCTCCGACGCCGAGAGTGATGATGAAAAGCGCCAAATTGGAGTGGGCTCTTAAAAATCTCGACGCAGCGTTGCGTCTCTTGCGAGAGGCTCTTGAAGCTTTCGATGACTTTCCAAAACTGTGGCTAATGAAGGGTCAAATTGAGGAGCAACAGGATAACTTGGACAAAGCGTTAGAAACGTATAATCAAGCGGTAAGTGATTTTAATATACTCGAGGAAAATGTAATCGCGTGAATGTAACACCTGAGTCATATTATAACTTTCTTCATATATTGTAGATCAAGAAATGCCCGAATTCAATACCTTTATGGCGTCTATTGTCGCAATTGGAGCACAGGCGGAATCAAGTGACCAAAGCTCGTTCGGTTCTGGAAAAAGCCAGGCTCAAAAACCCCAAGAATGCGGAATTATGGCTGGAATCTATACGAAACGAATTGAAAATCGGTGGTGTACGTGATATGGCAAATACACTGATGGCTAAAGCGTTGCAAGAATGTCCTACGTCTGGTTTGCTCTGGGCAGAAGCAATTTTTATGGAACCACGACCGCAAAGAAAGACCAAAAGTGTGGACGCCCTGAAGAAATGCGAGCACGATCCTCACGTTCTTCTGGCAGTATCGAAGTGAGTCTCGCATATTTTACAACATATTCTAGACAACGATGAGAAACTACGTACGTGTTTCTATTGCAGATTGTTCTGGTGCGAGCACAAGATCTCAAAATGCCGGGATTGGTTCAATCGAACAGTGAAGATAGATCCGGATTTGGGAGATGCGTGGGCGTATTTTTATAAATTCGAGTTGCTCAATGGTACGGAAGAGCAGCAAGATGACGTGAAAAAAAGATGCATTGCTGCAGAGCCTCATCATGGTGAAAATTGGTGCAAAGTCTCTAAGAACATAGCAAATTGGTGTCTAAGTATAGATCAAATCTTAGTTTTAGTTGCAAGAGACTTACCCATTCCTATTTAAGCTATTATTAAATCATTAAAATATAATTATAACAAACTTAATGTATAAGAGTATATAATATTTGTAAATAAAATTAGAAAGTATATTTCAATTAATTTTGCTTCATGCTATATATATTTACATTGTATAACTTCATATATCCAATTATTTATTTATATTTTTATTTCTTATATATATCAAATATAATAATTGGATTATGTAAATCGTATCTTGTAAAATTTTGTGATGTCAAGTATATATATATATACATACATACAGAATGTAAGAGAAAAAGTAAAACGACGAACTTGGGAGAAATAGAGGACTTGAGAACATTTTGTCGATATTTTTTGCGCTATTCTTTATAAACAATCATTTTTTATATACATAATTACATCACGCTCTCGAGTCAACAGAGTTATATTTTCCGAACTCGGAGAACAACTGTAGCGCCAGCAGCGCTTTCAGGATACTTTTGAGGTTATGAGTAGTAGCGTCTAAGAGAGATATCTGTTTTCTTACTGAGCATCGTAAGTTAAAGTAATTAGTAATGTTTATTGCGAATACACATGATCTTGTCGGTTACTGTATAAATATGAAGAGCATGATGTGCGGAGTGACATGTGGAAATATTAGTATGTGAAAGATCGAAAATGCGACCGTATGGATCAAAAGAGTGGTATTAGCGTTGTATCTGTTTAGATAAAGATACACCAGAAACTTTGTTAGTCGGGGAAATCGAAGAAAATGCATTGTCCGTGATAATACTGCGCCACAGCATGGAATTCGTCTGACGTCAAGTATGAAAACGCAACGATAAATGAAAATATCTCATCGTTACTTAACCTCACCTAACCTCACTTCGTCGCACGCGAAATTAAAATGATTTGTTTCTGCCCTTTCAGGTAATCAAGCAGATGAAGAGGTCACGATTATACTAAACTTTATACATTATAATACCGGAACAATGACGAATACACTTATGCTGCAATTTGCCCAACGGCTCAAGTCGAGGAATGAAGAGGCGCGAAACAAGGCCGCGCGCGATTTGTGCCTGTACGTGAAAAGGGAGCTGCGAGAAGCATCGCAGGAGGAGATCATCTCCTTTATGGATGATTTTAATCATCACATATTCGAGATGGTGTCGGCTTCCGACGCGAACGAGAAGAAGGGTGGAATATTAGCCATAGTTTGCCTTATCGGTGCAGAAGTGGGTAACATCAATACGCGTACCGTGCGATTCGCCAACTACCTTAGGAACTTGATACCGTCGAACGATGTGGGAGTCATGCAGTTGGCCGCGAAGACTGTCGGGAAGTTAGCGCTAGTTTCAGGCACCTATACAGCCGAATACGTGGAGTTTGAGGTGAAACGTGCCTTCGAGTGGCTTGGCGCGGACAGACACGAAGGCAGGAAACACGCAGCTGTACTTATTCTGAGGGAACTCGCTGTCTCCGTGCCGACGTACTTCTTTCAACAAGTTACGCCGTTTTTCGAGCTGATATTCAATGCTATACATGATCCCAAGCCCACCATAAGAGAGGCCGCTGTGGAAGCTCTGCGTGCAGCATTGGTGGTCACTGCTCAACGAGAGACTGCCAAACAGATGCACAAGGCTCAGTGGTACAGGCAGTGCTACGACGAGGTAGTGGATGGATTTGCAGAGGTTCACACGAAGGAGAGGGGCATTAATAGAGACGACAGGATACACGGCTCGTTGTTGGTGTTGAACGAGCTGTTGAGATGCAGCAACGTGCAGTGGGAGAGGACCTATGAGGCTCTAATGGAGAGACTGAATGGATCCACGCAGAACGAGAACGACATTCTCTCGTTGATGCCGCGTCTGAAGACAACGATAGTGTCGAAATGGGCCGGCTCCACTCAGAACGCCTCTGGATCTCAGCACACGTTGTGCCCGCCGCAAGAGTCGGCGGTTTGCAGGTGCTTGATGCAAGAGAGACTGGACGACATTTACAACGACGTGATGAACCAGAAGATGTCTCGAAATCCGCACATTCAGCACGCGCTCATGATGCTGTTGCCGCGACTAGCCGCATTCAACAAGGAGAAATTCATAAAGGAACACCTGAAGGAGTCTTTGGGCTATCTACTGATGATTCTGCGCAATCGCGAGAAGGATCGTTACGCCGCGTTCACAGCGATCGGCTTCATAGCCGTGGCGGTGGAGGACGCGATCAAGCCGTACCTACCGAAGATCATGGAAGTGATCAAGAGTTTATTACCGTCTAAGGAAACGCCCAGTAAAAAGCGCACCTCCTTAGAGCCCGCCGTGTTCGTCTGCATCACTTTGTTGAGTCACGCGGTCAAGCAAGTCATAGCTCCTGATGTGAAGGACCTACTGGAGCCTATGTTCACGACGGGACTAAGTCCGATCTTGACTACTGCCCTTCGAGAACTGGCGCACAATATTCCATCTCTGCAAGTGGATATATCTCAGGGTCTGCTTCGAATGCTGTCCCAAGTTCTCATGCAGAAGCCACTGAGACATCCCGGAGCTCCGTGGACAGCGACCAGTCCTAATTCTACGTCAGATGACGTCTCCTCAACAGTGCTCGCCTTGAAGACCCTAGGCACTTTTAATTTCGACAACAATCCGTTGTTGCAGTTCGTGAAAAGATGCGCGGACCATTTCCTGATGTCGGAACAGGCCGAGGTTCGATTGGAGGCTGTGAAAACGTGCTCCAGGCTATTGAGATTGACGCTGAATCAGTCCGGTCCCACGGTCACCAATACCGTCTCGAATGTTTTAGGTAAATTACTGGTGGTAGGCATCAACGACACAGACCCCGACGTGCGCCTGTGGGTGTTAGCTTCGTTGGACGACTCCTTCGACGTACAGCTGGCGCAAGCAGAGAACTTGTCCGCCTTGTTCATCGCCATGAACGACGAGATGTTCGAGATACGAGAACTAGCGGTTCGCACTGTCGGACGACTCAGCACTCTGAATCCTGCTTACGTCATGCCGTCGTTGCGGAAGACTCTGGTGCATTTTCTCACGGAGCTGGAACACTCGGGAATGGGTCGTAACAAGGAGCAAGCCGCCCGAATGTTGGACCACCTGGTCGTCACGTCGCCGAGACTCGTTCGGCCGTACATGGAGCCGATCTTGAAGGTCCTCGTCCCGAAACTGAAGGAGCCCGACCCCAATCCGGGTGTGATACTGGCTGTTTTGCGCGCGATCGGCGATCTAGCAGAGGTGAACGGTGCCGAGATGCAGCAGTGGATGCCTGAGCTCTCGTCGATACTGCTGGAGATGCTGGTAGACGCCAGTTCGCTCGAGAAACGAGGCGTAGCGTTGTGGGTGTTCGGCCAATTGGTCGGCAGTACGGGCCACGTTGTGAAACCGTACATGCAGTATCCGTCTTTGCTGGACGTTCTCATCAACTTCCTGAAGACCGAACAACAACCGATCATCCGGCGAGAGACCATCAGAGTGCTCGGTCTGTTAGGTGCGTTAGATCCGTACAAGCATAAGATGAATCTCGGACAGATTGATTCGCAGTTGGACACGCTGAGTTCGATGGCCGACGCCAAGAGCGACGTGGAGAACACTCAGGATTTGACCACCAGCGAAATGCTAGTGAACATGTCGCCGTCCACGTTGGAGGAGTTCTATCCGGCAATCGCCATCACGACGCTCATGCGAATTATTCGCGAGCCAACTCTTATCCAACATCACACCATGGTGGTGCAAGCCGTGACCTTCATATTCAAAAGCCTCGGGATCAAGTGCGTGCCCTACATCTCTCAAGTAATGCCAAGCTTCCTGAACGTGGTGCACACGGCCGACGTGAATTTCCGCGAGTTCCTGTTCCAACAGCTGGCCGTCCTCATCGCCATCGTAAAGCAGCACATACGCAACTACCTGGACGACATATTCAACTTGATCAAGGAATTCTGGATCGCGAACAGCCCATTGCAGAGCACGCTGATCTTGCTGGTCGAGCAGATCGCCGTGGCCTTGGGCGCGGAGTTCAAAATCTATTTGCCGCAGCTGATGCCGCCTATATTGAGAGTACTGACGCACGACACCAGCAAGGATCGCGCGGTGACGGTAAAGCTACTCTTAGCCTTGCAGACGTTCGGCAGCAATCTCGATAATTATTTGCACCTCGTTCTGCCGCCGATTGTGAAGCTGTTCTACGCAAACGACTGTCCGATAGCCGTGAACAAGGTCGCTCTCGAAACGGTCGATTTACTAGCCGACACGCTGGACTTCAGCGACTTCGCATCGCGAATCGTTCACACTTTAGTACGAACATTGGACCAATGCCCCGATCTGAGGAACACCGCCATGGACACGCTCTGCGCTGTCGTGATGCAACTGGGCAAGAAATATCAGATCTTCATTTTGCTGGTGCAGAAGGTTATGACGAAGCACAAGATAGTGAACTCGCGCTATGACGTCCTCGTGGACAAGATCCTCACCGACACGACCGTAGCGGACGGTGAGGATTTCCTGTTGATGAGGCTGCGACACTCGCGGAATAAGAATCGCGAGCTCTCGCTGACACCCTCGGAAACTACGACAATCAAGAGATTGCACGTGTCGGCCTCGAATTTACAAAAAGCGTGGACGGCGACGCGCAGAGTGTCGAAGGACGATTGGCTCGAGTGGTTGCGCTGCTTCTCCATTGGTTTGCTCAAGGAATCCCCGTCCCCGGCTCTGAGATCTTGCTGGGCACTCGCGCAAACGTACGCCGTGCTGCCTCGCGACCTATTCAATGCCGCTTTTGTCTCGTGTTGGACCGAATTAAACGATACGTATCGCACGGAGCTGATACAGACTCTGCATCAAGCGTTGATGGTGCCCGAGTTGCCCACGGAGATCACGCAGACCATCTTGAACTTGGCCGAGTTCATGGAGCACTGCGACAAAGGTCCGTTGCCGTTGGACAACAAGATCCTAGGTGACACGGCGATGCACTGTCGCGCCTACGCCAAGGCGCTGCACTACAAAGAGGACGAATTTCATAAGAACCGAAGCAGCAGCGTGTTCGAGTCTCTGATCTCCATCAATAACAAGTTGCAACAAAAGGAAGCGGCTGAAGGTCTTCTGGAGTACGTGATGAATCAACATAATCAGCAAGATCTCAAGGTTCAGATACGCTGGTACGAGAAGCTTCACAATTGGGATAAAGCGTTGCAGTTGTACCAGGAACGTCTAGAGAGCGACGCCGCGGATGTGGAATCCACTTTGGGCGAGATGCGTTGTCTAGAGGCTCTCGGCGAGTGGGGCCAGCTGCACGAGGTCGCCACGAAACATTGGACGAATCAAACTGACGAGACCAAGCAGAGGATGGCGAGAATGGCAGCGGCCGCGGCGTGGGGTCTAGGTCAATGGGAATGTATGCAGCAGTACGTCTCGTTGATACCGAAAGATACTCAGGACGGAGCGTTTTACAGGGCGGTATTGGCTATCCACGACGAACAGTACAACACCGCGCATCAGCTCATCGATAGCGCGAGAGATATTCTCGACACCGAACTAACAGCAATGGCCGGAGAAAGTTATCAGCGTGCATACAACGCCATGGTGGAGGTGCAAAAGTTAGCAGAATTGGAAGAGGTGATACAGTTCAAGCTGGTGCCAGAACGGAGGACAGCCATCAAAGCCATGTGGTGGGAGAGGCTTCAAGGTGGGCAGAGGATAGTGGAGGATTGGCAGAAGATAATACAAGTGCACACACTAGTGGTTTCACCTCAGGACGACATGTACACATGGTTGAAGTACGCGAGTCTCTGTAGAAAAAGTGGTAGCTTGATGCTGTGTCACAAAACGCTGGTAATGCTGTTGGGCGTTGATCCTTCCTTAAGTCCTGATCAGCCTCTGCCAACGACACATCCTCAGGTGACTTTCGCTTACTGCAAGCATCTGTGGGTCGGGAACAAACGCGAGGAGGCTTATAATCAGCTGCAACGTTTCGTGCAGACGTATTTGCAGTCGACCACCGCGGGCATAGTGAATCAGGACGACGAAAAACAGCATGAGAGCAAGAAGAGACTGCTCGCCAGATGTTACCTCAAACTTGGCGAATGGCTGGAGGCGTTGAAAGGCATAAACGAGCACTCGATACCCGCAGTGTTGTCTTACTATGCCGCGGCGACACAGCACGATCCAACGTGGTACAAAGCGTGGCACGCCTTCGCTTATACGAATTACGAGACCGTACTGTTCTATAAACATCAGGACGACTCCGCCATAGAAACCGCGCCTGGTAATGGAACGCGCAATAATCTCTCCAGCTCGCAGTACATATCGCAGTTCACCGTACCGGCTGTGAAGGGCTTCTTCAAATCCATCAACTTGTCGGACGGCAACTCGCTGCAAGATACTTTACGTTTGCTGACACTCTGGTTTGACTATGGCCAATGGCCGGAGGTATACGACGCAGTCGTCGAGGGCATAAGGCTAATAGAGATAAACACTTGGCTGCAAGTGATTCCACAACTCATAGCCAGGATCGACACACCCAGGACCTTGGTCGGCCACTGCATACACCATCTTCTTATTGATATAGGAAAGTCGCATCCTCAGGCTCTGGTTTATCCGTTGACAGTAGCCTCGAAGAGTGCCAGCCACGCGAGAAAGAACGCGGCCAATAAGATCCTGAAAAGCATGTGCGAACACAGCCCGACTTTAGTCCAGCAAGCCATAATGGCGAGCGATGAGCTCATCAGAGTCGCTATTCTGTGGCACGAACTGTGGCACGAAGGCTTGGAAGAAGCTAGTAGATTATATTTCGGAGAGAGAAACGTCAGGGGCATGTTCGATACGTTAGAACCTTTGCATGCAATGCTCGAGAGAGGACCACAGACTCTGAAAGAGACCTCTTTCAACCAAGCGTACGGGAGGGATCTGATGGAGGCGCAGGAGTGGTGCCACAGGTACAAAGCGTCGCGAAACGTCAGGGACTTGAATCAAGCTTGGGACTTGTATTATCACGTGTTCCGGAGGATATCCAGACAACTGCCACAATTGACCAGTTTAGAATTGCAATACGTCAGTCCGAAACTGCTTCTCTGCAGGGACCTGGAGTTGGCTGTACCGGGCAGCTACAGTCCTGGCCAGTCGATTGTGAGAATCGCGAGTATTCATAGTTCTATGCAAGTAATAACCAGTAAACAACGACCAAGGAAGTTGTGCATCAAAGGTCAGTTGATGTCGCGGTTGAGTTGCCGTCTTTATTAGAAGATCCGAGCAACGCTAATCAATCTCAATATATTTCAGGCAGCAACGGTAAGGATTACATGTTCTTGTTGAAAGGCCACGAGGATTTGAGGCAAGACGAAAGAGTGATGCAGCTGTTCGGCCTAGTGAACACTCTTTTATTACACGATCCGGACACTTTCCGCAGAAACCTCACCATTCAAGTTAGTACAGATAATCGATTAACGTAAACGGAGATACAACTTGCACAAGATCCTCTCAATTCGATTTTACTTTCAGAGATACGCTGTGATCCCATTGTCTACGAACAGTGGACTTATTGGCTGGGTACCACATTGTGATACGCTTCATACACTCATAAGGGATTACAGAGAGAAGAAGAAGATATTACTCAATATTGAGCACAGGATAATGTTACGGGTAAGACAGATAAACTCTCTCTCTTTCTTTGTAAATCTATGTGTTATTAAGTGCTTCAATTATCTCAAAGCAGGCGAGACATACGATATATAAGTACACACACAATATAGTTTTTTAATTATATATCTTTTTAGATATAATATATTCTTAGATAATGTATATTCTATTAATATGTGTACTATTTATAATTATAATATCTATAATTATTTTCTGGATAGTATATTTTTTTCTTTTCAGATGGCACCCGACTACGATCATCTCATGCTCATGCAGAAGGTCGAAGTGTTCGAACATGCTCTCGAGCACACGCACGGCGATGACTTGGCGCGGCTGTTGTGGCTGAAGTCGCCGTCAAGCGAGGTGTGGTTCGATCGCAGGACGAATTACACGCGATCTTTGGCTGTGATGTCCATGGTGGGCTACATACTCGGTCTCGGTGACCGCCACCCGTCTAACTTGATGCTGGACCGTCTCAGCGGGAAGATATTGCACATCGACTTCGGCGATTGCTTCGAGGTGGCGATGACGCGTGAGAAGTTCCCGGAGAAGATACCGTTCCGCTTGACGCGAATGCTGATCAACGCGATGGAGGTGACCGGTATCGAGGGAACGTACAGAAGGACTTGCGAGTCAGTGATGTCTGTGTTACATCGGAACAAAGACAGTCTGATGGCAGTTTTAGAGGCGTTCGTTTACGACCCTCTTCTGAATTGGAGATTAATGGACAACGCGGTGCAGAAGGGAAAACGGTCGGATGCTCAGGGTATGAGCGCCAGCAGCAGCCAGGAGCACGGAGACATGCTCGATTCGCTGACCGCCACTTTACCAAAGAAGGGCGTACCATGTAGCATCGAAAATGGAGGTAATTCACACGTTTCTCGGTACTGGTGGCACAATCATTATTAAATTAATCGATAAAGAGATAAAGCTACAAGTTCACAGAAATAAAGAGATAAAGTTTATTAAATTAATCGATAAAGATTGATCGCGAACATCAGGTTGACATTAGAAGTAATAATAAAATATATAATCAGTTATAAAGATTATATATAATCAGTTTATATTTTATCATTACTTCTAATGTCAACCCGATGTCCGCGATCAGTCTTTATCGATTAATTTAACAAACTTTGACATTAAAAGTTATGATAAAATATAAACTGATATTTTATATATATATATATATATATATATATATATATATATATATATATATATTTCTTTACTCAGTTTATCATATAAATTTCATCGCATAAACTGGTTGAAAAATACGCTTTTCTGATTGGCGTCTGATCGTAGTATAAATTTCTTTCATAGCATATACAGTGTTTACTCTTTCGCAGGTGATAATAATCAACCAGAAGCGCTGAATAAAAAAGCTCTCGCGATCATAGTGAGAGTCAGAGATAAATTAACTGGACGCGATTTTTCGCACGAAGAGACTCTCAGCGTTCGACGACAAGTGGATCTCTTGATCCAGCAGGCCACGAATAACGAGAATCTTTGTCAATGTTACATCGGATGGTGCGTAATTGTTCATAGCATTTTGGCTATTTGCCTCTTTATTTGTTACGAACATATTCATTATTTTATGATACATTTAATTTTTCAACACTATATATGTATTAACAACTTGCTTATAGCTTATTTTAGCGTGTAAGAGACGTTTGCATGATGTAAATTGTATAGAAAAATGTTCACGGACATAAACTTTGTTATTACGCGTTGCAGGTGTCCCTTTTGGTAAATGCAAGCCTATCATCAAGATGACATCTCGTACATGTGCAATCGTCCGCTTCTGCATTTATAATGTTACGAAATTATCTTTAATTTTACAGTGATCGTATGTATGATGTACATATATGACCTATTATTATATGATTTACATGTGATAGTAATAGTCGATTATAATAAGTAGAATGTATATTAGAGCGTATTGTGTATATTACAAACGTTTGGTTGACAGTTAACGACGTTGTTTGATCTTATATCGTATATCGTTCAGCGCTATCTATAAGAAAGGAATGAGATTGACTGGAGAACTCATAGCAAAATCTGTATTTATATATATATATATATATATATATATATATATATACACTGTTGCGACCGCATTTGGTTTCAGTACGGTTTGAATCCTTTTTTTTCCTTCAATGCAATTTGAAACGCAATCGTTCATGAGAGAATTCGTTCTCTATTAATTCTCAAAAGTTAAGTTCTCTCACTGAACCGCCGACTGCGTTCCAGACTGCATCGTTTGAAAAGTGTTCAAACCCTATGGAAAATCGAGGTACACATCCTTGTAAATAATTCTTCTGCATCGTCAATTTCGCTAAAATAAAGCTTAAGTCAGTAACAAATTGTACATAAAAAGCATACATAAGGCAATCTCTAGGTATAATATTGGGGAAATAATTGAATTAAGTCAATCGTTTATAAAACTCCACGCGTTCATCGCAGTCCGATGAAATCGATTATGACGTCATTTTGAACGAGAGCGGGCACAATTCGTTGCCCCGAGTCCGTAAAACTTTCTTCATATCGGACCTCGTCAAATAGATCGGTATGTCGCCGAACTCCACGATCATCTGTCTGCATACTCCGCACGGCGCGGTGAAGGTCGTGTTGTCGTGGTCGGCAACCACGGTCAGCGCTTTGAATCGCCTCTTGCCTTCGGACACAGCCTTCGCGATCACCGACGTCTCGGCGCAAACACCCGCGGGGAAAGATGCGTTCTCCACGTTGCAGCCCTTCCAGACGCTACCGTCCTCACATCGTAACGCTGCGCCTACTTTGAACTTGCTGTATGGCGAATACGAATTCTCACGCACCGCCACACTCTCCTTTATCAGCTCCTGAATTTCCGCGTCTGCAAAACGTTCAAATTTCGAGGGAACCGTCGGCAATTAAATATACTTTGAAGTCTTCTTATCTGCTCCTCCGAACCATATTTCTCAGATAGTACGAGCTCTAAAAATCACTCATAAGATAAGATGTCTTGTAATTAAGTTTATGACATTTCGAAACGATGTAGATAAAAATAAAGATGACTAAAAGGCATCTTAAAGTCATTTTATGCATCATTTTTAGAGCTCATGCTGTCTGAATTCTTATTGTATTATAAATCATATACGACATTGGGGCACAAGAAATATTCAAGATTGCATTCCAAAACATCTTATTGATACGAATTTTTAGCTCAGGATTCCAATTGAAGTTGCTGTTAAAAAAAATGAAGAGTGAAGAGTTATAAATATAGATTAATAACGCTACAGCTATAAACATAAAAGTGCACTAATATGATAGAAAATTTCATTAGGATGTGCACTTTTATGCTTAACTGTAGCGTTACTAATCCATCTTATAACCTTTATAACCTTACTTTCCATTTTTTCTCCAACAGCAGTTTCAGTTGGAATTCCGCAAAGTTATTAAAAATGGTCCTTAAGAGAGTAAGATCTCGAGATTATCATCAACTTATTCGACTTCATATTGTAAAGACAAAGTTGATTTTCCCGCGCCGCGTGCCCCGCTTGTCGCCATTTTTGCGCGCGAATTCATGCGCAGGCGGTAGCGCCAGTGGCGACGCTCGTCGAGAGGGAGAATCAACGCACTCTAAAGATACCCATTTCAAATGTGTAACAAAAATAACGCGTGACCTACACTCAAATGTAAACACATTTTCAATTCTACGCAATTCGACTGGAGTTTTGTTGTATCACGTATTATCTTTTGAGCTCGAGAGACTTTCCGAGGATATTTGCGCGTGTGTATTTGTCAAAGGCGTATCATACGCCAGCACGTGCCAAAGGATTAATTACTAACTAACATGTCGTAACGATAACGATACACCGATAAGGTAGAACAATGATAAGTCACAAGTAATTTTTTTGAATATAATTATAATGCAGTTAGGCCTCTTTCTATTTAATAAAAAAATTTGATTAATTGGATGTATAAAAAATAAAGAATTTAGAATTACGTGCATTTCAGCGACTTAACACGAACTTTACTTGTCATCGCGTGATTGTTCTCCGAGGTAGACGAATTCTCGCAATTTGAAACTGACAATTTTTGGATTATGCAGGTGAAGCAAATAAATTTCAAGGGAAATTAGTCGACGGGATCTCTCGATAGCTCAGAAACTCGGGCCTCATCCATGAGTTATTTTCCCGCGCATGACCGCCTCTCATCGTCTTATATTGCAATTTCAACGTTTTCTGCGAGACGTAGGACGCCATATTTATCATACCTCAACTCGTTAATACATATTTAATTTGTCTTTGAACTTATGTATACGAGGTAATGTTACCCGGCACAATCTACTGAAAGATGTCTTAAAGACGGACGAGAGACAGTTCTGCTTCTTTTAGACGATTTTTGAGCGTCTTTAAGACGTCTTTTAGTAATTTCTGCTGTCCGTCTTGCGGACGTGTAATTAACTTTTAGAAATCGAGCGCATCAAGAACATATGGAAGTAATGAAGGCGAATGGGATCGGCTAGGACTAATGTTGCGACGGAATTAATTTAAGAAGAGTTCCACTCCATCGCGCAGCCAGGGCTGCGAGCGGATTAAGTCCGATCGATCGAGCGTACGTATGGGATAATACGACGGTGACACAACCACAACGACGCGGCGACATAGAGAGAGAGAGAGAAAGAGAGAGAGAAAGAGAGAGAGAAAGAGAGAGAAAGAGCGCACTTGCGCGGAAGGTGTGGGAGAAGCCACTATTTACCAAGCGCCGAAAAATCGATTATTTCCCCGATGTTCATCGCGCCGAGGAGGAATCGTCGAGCAAGTCGTTCGCAGTAATCCACGGATAGGCTCTCGTCAATATCGCTCTTCGCGCTAAAACAGCACGCTGCAACGTCCCCGACGACTGCGTCCCGTACGAGGCCTCGTGTAACAGCCGCGACTTCTCAGGCCCGGCCTGCCGAAGCGCTATTTAAACGAAATCGCCCCGTCTAACCTAACCTTGGCCGATCTCCGCATATCGCGAGCGTTACCTGAGTGTTAACAGCGGAGCAAAGGAGGGAGGGAGAAAAGGAGAGAGAAAAAAAGAGAGAGAAAGAGAGAGAGAGAGAGAGGGAGGTTGAGTTGGTGTTCACGACCGACCGACCGTCCGTCAGTGCGGGAACAGAGATATTTGAGAAAGGAGTGCGAGAGAAGAGAGAAACCGGGGAGAAAAAGAGAGTGAGACGGGCCGCCCGTTGTTCCCATTTATTGAGCCATTACACGCGGTCGCGCACATGCGACGCATACGCGCGCATAAATGATGCCGCGAGCGTTTGTTGCACCCTGGACAATGTTCGCCGATTGATTAGTCGTCGCACACTCGTCCTGTCGCGGTCGATCGTGTTTCGCGAGGGATCGCGCGTATCGATACGGACCTATCGACGTAGGCGCGGGAAGTTCAATTCGCCGCCGTCGGGAAACGCACCGCGGTCGTGCGCAAAGCACCGTTCTTATGGAATCGATCGCGTGCGAGTAACGGAGAATTGACGCGAGGATTATCAATTATTTACGTGGCAACACGCGAGCCTCCTCGAGCGATCTTCTCCGCGGAGGTCCGCGCGACAAGTCGAACGTTCGGAGTCGCGTTCCGAGCTGCTCCTTGAATTATAAACCGTCTGAAATGGATTTGAGTTACTCCCATCGACGGGACAGAGAGAGAAGGACGCCGTGAGAGAGGGGAGGGGGGCGCGAGACGAGACGGGCGCGGGAGACGAATGGGGAGCGAGAGAGGGACGTAGAGAGCGTGCCGATGCTTGTTAGTTGCTCAGCTGTTTTGAAGAATCGACGACGCAGACTGGACTGGCAGCAGCAATCGGCCGTGACTCGGCGCGAGATCGCTGCACTCACGTCCAAACGCAAACAGATGTGGAGTGACTGTCCAAATTTCTGACACATCTCGGGCACGATTGTCGACGCGAGAAGCATCCCCTTTTTGCGTGCACGCACAGCGGCGCCGACAATTGCGAGTCCTCGAACTGAGGCCGAGCTAACGTTCAACGAAACGGACGGAATAAAGGAATCGCCATGAGCGAGCTAAGCCAGGAAGAAGTGAGTAGTAGGACCGTTTTACGTCGCGCGTATCCTTCGCTTCTCCGCTCGACAAACCCTACAACAACCCGCCGTTTCTTTCTCCTTTGTGGTATCGTCCTCTCGATGCCGTCTCGCCGCCTTTCCACGTTTTCCTTTTTCCCTCCAACGCTCGCCAGCACGCGATATTTCCTATCGAGTGCAGAGAGTGTAAGCGAGACATGGTCGGGGCTATTCTGAGTGTAGTGCAGTTGTAAGAAAAAACTTTAGGTTTATTGTCATATCAGACATCCTTTTCTATTTTAGCCGCGCTCTCTATACTTTGCAATGTTTTTCGTTTTCTCTCCTTCTCTCGCATTTCCCTTCTTTCCTTTTTTACGTGCAAATCCCACATGTACATTTATTTCGTTTCGAGAGCGCGGAACGTTGCCAAAAAGAAAATAAACCAGCAAAATATATTGTCCATGCTCTCGCTTTATCCACGATGTACTCGCGATTTTCTCATATTTTTTTCCATTTGCGTATGAACCATTATCACGTCTGAGTCGCGCGACGTGAATTTAAAGAATTCTCTTTAGATGCCGTTTCCGACGACGTCACTTGACAAGTATTTGTTTCTTCGTCGCGTTAATTGTAAATGAAACAATTCGTATGCACATAATACATAAAAAACTAATTATGTAATTAACACGATTATTATGCTTTAACCGTAGAAACTTTGTCGAGAGTAAAAGAGGGAAAAAAGGAGGAAGAGAGAACATTTCTCAACAGTTTCTTTCATGCTGTTTTAACTATGTATATTGCGTATACATATACTATATGAATGTCCTGAGATCAGAGCTTTAAAATACTGCTTTCAAAATCTGCACATATTTCTTTTTCATAGCTCCTCTATTGTTTGTTGTCATGTTTTCCGCTTAGATTTTGTGGATTCATTCTCTCCTTTGTCTGCTTAATTTGAAGCAACATTATGAAATCTGTATGAAATCTTGTGACTAATGAAGTCATAGTTCATCGATAAACATATAGTCCTTTCATTGTACAAAAATTATGATTTTGCAGTAGAGATAACAATGTAATTGTGAAAATATGTAAGTTCTAGTTTTCTACATTGTTCAAAATGTAACATGTAGATTATACTCTTTATTCTTTTGTTTGCTGTAATGTCACATAGCAAGCGTCTAAAAATAACTGTTCCAGAACAAAGAATTTTTGTTCTCTTTGTAACATGTCTTCTGGCAAAGTCTTGGAAGAAACTCTGAGTCAATGCTTTGTTTTATTCTGCTCTAGATGAGGAGAAGGCGGTTAGTCCATTTAGCGGGCTTGAACACGAGTAACACGGCTGCCAATTTAATCAACCCTACCACCTCAATATCTCCAAATACTTCGGGTCCTTCAACAGCATTTGCAGGATCAATATCTCCATCTACCCAGCAGCAATTTCAACATGCTGATGTACCAATGGAAGTAGAGGAAAGTAGTGACAAACAGTGTAATACTTCTGGGATAGATGTTGACTCAGGAATTGAAAATATGGAAGTTGAGGAATCTGACAGGAAAGATTTACCGAGATCACGTGTAAGTCTTACTCTGTACTCGAGAAACAATTTATACACATGTATGTGTATACATACATGTGCATAACCTATGTAGTAGAAACAAATTGTTGAAATTTGTCTAGACAGAAAATCTCTTGAATTTACTTACTACCTACAGTCTTCTTTATTTTCTATTGTATTCAATTTATTGTGTTGTATTTTCTATTGTATTCCATTTGTATTTTCTATATTTTAGACAACAAGTTCAAGCATAGAAGTAACAACAGATAAAATACACGCTGTCATATCACGCATTTTGTGCATATCGTGGAAGAGTCCTGTGGAGGGAAGTATATATCTGCCGCGTATAGCAGAATATTTGCAAAAACAGCCGAACGTTGCAGACCTCATTAACCATGCCTTGATAGAGGTATTACATCTGTTTTCGCGGGGGGAAGATCTCTTAAAAGATATCGTAATAGAGAAATTATCAGACTGCGAGGACAGTCCGAATAGCCAAGAGAGTCCGAGTTTATTGAGTCCCATTGTGATTCCTCCATCTTTTGAATTACCGACCATACCATTGCCGATAGGCACCAAATTAACGCAACCGAAAAGTCTACTTTATTTGCTAGATTGTTACTTAAGAGTTGCGACCGAAGAAAAGAATCATCCAAAGGTATATATATATATTTGTGAAAATTTAATTTTATCAAATTTCACTAAATCGAATACTGATATTTATCTCTTGCTCTTTCAGCGATCCAGCGTACCTCCTCTTTCCGAAGTATTGACAGCTTTGAGAGCACAATGTGTTCAGTATTCCAGTCTTGTTCTTCTAGGATTGATTGGCATTGACTGCCAAACTCCAACACCTATGTATCCCGCTTATTTTCTCTACCCGATATTATCGCAAACCTTGCCTCGCGGCTATCTCCACGAGCTTGTGGCTAGGACGCATGGGAATCCAACGATATTTAGTAAAATATTTACTCCAATCTTGCAAGTCTTGTATCTTTCGATGCAACAAACGAGCTTGGTCGGCAATATGCACAGAAGGCCGATCGAGGCACTGGAAGATCTGTTAGAAATTCGCTGTGGACCGAACGGCAATATACGTCCAATTTGCCGTCTGATCACCAATCAAGTCCAATTTTTGCCCAAGATCATGACCTCGGCCGCTGGCAGAGAACTCACCAGGACCTCGTTCTTAGGGCCGTTTCTCTCGGTGTCGGTGTTCGCCGAGGACGAGCCGAAAGTGGCGGAGAAATTCTTCAGTGGAAATCCATTTACGGACAAGTCGGTGAACGTGACGTTGCAACAAGAGTTAGAAAGCACGAGAAGCTCGTTACACAAGATGTTCCACGCGATACTCGCGAACAGTAACTGCCGTGACGTTACCTTGACGTATCTCGCGACGTTGATACGTCACAATGAGAAACGCGCGCAAATGCAGACCGAGGAGTTCACTTTAGCTGGGGACGGATTCATGTTGAACCTGCTGTCGGTTCTGCAGATGCTCTCCGTGAAAATCAAACTGGACACCGTGGATCCCATGTATCCATTTCATCCCTCCAGCTTCGTTGAGATAAAGAATGACACAAGACTGAAACTTACTTCGCGTGAAGTCGCGGAGTGGCAGAGGAGCTTGGAGAAGACGCATAAATGGTCGGAGGCGAAATTCCCGACTCAGTGTTGGTTCCTCACGTTACATTGTCACCACATCGCGCTGCTACCGGCGCTGCAGAGGTATCAGAGGAAGTTGCGGGCGTTGCGAGATTTGCAAAAGATGCTCGACGAACTACAAGCCACCGAACACCAATGGAAGGACACACCCTTCGCGGAGCACAACAAAGACTTAATCAAACAGTGGAAGCAACAATTGAAGCGGCTAGTTAAATCGAAATCGTGTGCGGATGCGGGATTGATAGATCCCATCCTTCTCAGAAGGTGCTTAGAGTTTTATATGTCTGTGGCGGAGATTTTGTTGAGCCTTTTGACAGAGACTACTCCGGGCGATCCTCTGCCCGAACTTCCGCTTCCCAGGGAAGTCCCGTACAAGTTTACCGCGCTACCTGAATGGTATGTGGAGGACATAGCGGAATTCTTATTGTTCATACTTCAGTAAGTTTCCTCGTTTTCATATCTTTCGTATGATACATTTACGTAGTACCTATATTTCCTGTAATGAATGATAAATCTGTATCCACACTTGTAGGTTTTGTCCTGGGGTAATAACAAACGATATGGACAATTCGCTTATTACTTGGTTACTCGTCGTTGTGTGTACACCGCATTGCATACGAAATCCGTATCTGATCGCGAAGATCATCGAGGTTCTTTTTGTGATAAATCCCAGTATACAGGTAATATATATATTCGCACACAGAAAACTGCAACTAAACAAATTAGAAGTCTCGAACCGTGTCGCTAATAATGTCGCGTTTGCCACAGGGAAGAACGGAAATTCTTCACTATCACGTTATGGCGCATCCTATATCGAAGACACTACTGGCATCATATCTCATGAAGTTTTATACAGACGTCGAGACCACTGGCTCTAGTTCCGAATTTTATGACAAATTTTCAATACGTTATCACATAAGTCTAATCCTAAAATCAATGTGGGACAGCCCGGTACATCGAACGTCTATCGTCAATGAGAGCAATAACGGCAAGCAATTCGTCAAATTCATCAACATGCTAATGAACGATACTACCTTTTTACTCGACGAAAGTTTAGAATCTCTGAAGCGTATACACGAAGTACAGGAACTCATGTCGGACACCAGTGCGTGGAACGCGTTTACTCAGGAGCAACAGCAATCGCGAACGAGACAGCTGGCAGCGGATGAGAGACAAGCCAGGTCCTACCTTACACTAGCCAAGGAGACAGTTGCTATGTTTCATTACTTGACGGTCGACATTACAGAACCGTTCTTGCGACCAGAATTGGTCGGGCGACTGTGTGCCATGTTAAATTTCAATTTACAACAGTTATGCGGACCTAAGTGCAAAAATCTGCGAGTGAGAAAGCCGCAAAAGTACGGATGGCAACCAAGGACGTTACTCAGTCAGTTGGTTGATATATATTTACATCTTGACTGTGATAATTTTGCAGCTGCTTTAGCCAGTGACGAAGTAAGTATAACTCGCAATATATATATGGATATATCACAGTCTATAAATTTTGTCATTTTATAAATGAGCCCATTAACTTTCTATAAGACTCGCGGTAATCGTTTCATAAGAAAGAATGCTATCTGCTTTTGGCTGAATTTGGGATACTTAACATCAAATAATATAGAAATTTCTATTTGCAGCGTTCATTCTGTAAAGAATTATTTACTGACGCGGCGAGCAGACTAGAAAGATCTGCGATAAAAACTCCCACAGAGATCGAAAGGTTCATAGCGCTCGCGGAGCGTGCAGCGGTGATCGCGAGAGAAAATCGCGTGCGCGACGCAAACTATGGCGATGCTCCTGAGGAATTCCGGGACCCATTGATGGACACTCTTATGGAGGATCCCGTCAAACTACCATCTGGGATTGTCATGGACAAACCTGTTATCATTAGACATTTACTCAATAGCGCCACAGATCCTTTCAGTCGGCAACCTCTTAGCGAGGATATGCTTATACCAAGTAAGTGTGCTATTTCGTACATATACCTTCCTTGCTTGTCAAATTTTTTAAGTTAAAACTGGCTCGTGGTGTAGTGGCATCTTATCAGACTGCATTTCCATGTGGGACACATTCGAAAAACATTCGTGATATATATAACAGCGAATCGTGATTCACTGTTGGAAATGCTTTTTACACCGAGACTTTTACTACTTTACGTGTCTAGGTATGTGCTGAACTGATGATTACTTTCGATATTGCAGTGCTCGACTTAAAAGAAAGGATAACTATGTGGAAACAAGACAAAACAAAATCGACAAACTTATAAGCGGTGCTAATTGACGAGGATTTTGTGAAATAAAAATAAGAGTAAAAGAGATAAGCATCACGTTTCAACATGATTAATAACGTCAATATTGCATGATACATTTTTCATCAACCCAACAAATGTATCAGTCGAGTGCAGTTGACGAATATAGTGCAATGATCTCGCTAATGTGCAAACAATTGCGCTCAATAAATTTACAGTTTTTATACAATAAATATTAACAGACTGCAGCTAGCGAACTGCCACGATATTGCTCCAAACATACTTTAGAAACTTGTAAATAATTGCTGGCATCGTGTCAGTATCTAAAATTGCATATTATTCGTAAATAAGCTCTTTTATTTTTTACGTTCTTCGATGTATGCGGCGACGGGTGGGATGTTTCAGACATATCCCGCATCTGATTATGAAAATATTATGTTAAATAGTATAAACTAGTAATACATATACATATATATATATATATATATATATATATAT